TTAATATCCTCTTTATCTTTATCACATGAATCTCCTTCTAAACCTACACATGTGACTCACCCACAGCCTACTACACAAATAATAACCCTGACTTCCAAAACTGAAAACCTTAAGCCAAAATAGTTCCCTGAGTTCAAAAGTTTTATATCTACTAAACATCATCTTCGTATGTTATCTAGTGTTCATCATGAGCAGGAACCAAGTTGTTTTACTTAGGCTGTGTCTTCATCTGAATGGCGGGGTGCTATGGGACGTGAGTTTGATGCATTAATGGCCAGTGGTACATGGTTTTTATGTCCGAGACCACTTCATAAGCCAGTAGTTCGAAACGGGTGGTTCTATAGGATTAAAAGAAAGCAAGATGGCAGTGTAGAGAGATACAAGGCACGTTTGGTTGCAAAAGGATTTGATCATTGTGATGGAGTTGATTATCATGAGAAGTTTCACCAGTGATCAAACCTTCTACTATTCGATTAGTTCTGGCCTTAGCAGTAAATTTTCATTGGCCAATTCATCAACTAGATGTATCTAATGCATTTTTACATGGCATATTGGAAGAAGAGGTTTTCATGGAGCAGCCGAAAGGATTTATTGATAAGTCGCAACCTGATTTTGTTTGCAGGTCACATAAACCACTTTACGGCATTAAACAGGCTCCAAGAGCATGGTTTCGTAGGCTGTCTCAGCAGCTAATTGGATTTGGTTTTCTTGAATCCTCGGTTGACTTATCATTGTTTGTCTATGACAAAGGTGACATACATATTTCTGTTCTTGTTTATGTAGATGACATAATTGTGACAGGATCAAATTTACCAGTCATTACTCAGTTTATCGACCAGCTTGGCACTCAATTTCAGCTTAAAGATCTTGGCAACTTGAGCTACTTCTTAGGAGTGCAAGCATGTCGGAATTCTCATGGTCTTCACTTGCGTTAAAGCAAGTATATCTCCGATCTTTTATATAAAGCAGATATGGCTGGAGCAAAGCCTTTATCCTCTCCAACAGTGACTAGTCGAAAACTATCGAATCAGGATGGTAATTTGCTTACTGATCCAAGTCAATACAAGATGGTCATGGGAGCTCTTCATTATTGTACTATCGCTCCGCCTGATATCTCATATATTGTCAACCAACTATGCCAATTTATGCATAACCCACGGGAAGGACACTAGATTGCTCTTAAAGGAATTCATCGCTATTTGAAAGGGACAGTTGATTATGGCCTCTATCACGCACCTTCAGGCATTGATTTAAATGCATACTACGACTCTGACTGGGCAGGAAATCCCGATGATCGACGGAGCAGCAATGGTTATGGTATTTTTCTAGGCGAAAATTTGGTTTCTTGGAGTGCTAAAAAGTAGAACATTGTATCACGTTCAAGTACAGAAGCTGAATATAGATCACTGGCTTTAGCAACTACTGAACTCTATTGGATGCGTATGCTATTTCAGGAATTAGGAATTGCACTTCCTAAATGTCCAGTGATTTGGTGTGAAAACATAGGTGCTATTGCTTTGGCCTCTAATCCTGTATTCCATGCTCGAACCAAGCATATCGAAGTAGATTATCATTTTGTGAGAGAAAAAGTAGTGAACAAGGATGTTCAAGTTTGTCATATTTCCACAAAAGATCAAATTGCAGACATATTCACGAAAGGGACATATAGCTTTACGGTTCAAGTTTTTAAGGCACA